CTAAAATTAGTGCGTATTTGGTGCATCATTATACACAAATTAAAAAAAATTCATTACACTATTAGTCCAACATTTCAATTTAATTAAATGAAAAATTTTCCCAGCTTTCTATGACTCTCCTCTACCCTCTATTTTCTTTCAAGCAAGTATGTCGTAACACAAATAATACACCTATTTACTGTAGATACAAAAAATTATTGTGCAATTAAAAAACGTCACGTGTTAATTTAAGTTTTGAAAAATAATATTATTCTTGACCTATTAAAATTATGTTGATGATGTTTATGAACCAATCACAAAATGACACATGTCACAATCACAAGATGCCTAAAAAAAAGTCTTGTTCTTCAAAAAAGAATATATGAAATATATATTCATTAAATTAAAATATTTATTGTGTCAATTAATAAAATTAAAATATTCTTATTACTTGTCAAATAATAATAAAATTTTTATCCTAAATAATTAGGAAAATAGTTGGTAAAAAAATTCTAATCCTAAAAGGATTCCTCAAAACCATACCTATAAATAAGGTCCCTTTCCAAACATTTCAACACACATTTTAAGAGCAGGAAACCTAAAATAAATTTCAAGAATTAAACTTTCTGAAAATCTCTCCTTAACAAGAAACAATTTGAAGACCTTATTAAGAGCGACTCGCCAACCTTATTACGACCAAATCAAAACCCTTATTACAAGGAATTTAAATACCCTGTTACAAGGGATCCGCCAACCCTATTATGAGGGATTTGTATATCTTGTTACAAGAGATTTGAAAATTTTGTTACGAGGGATTTGAAACCCTATTAAGATGGATTTTGAAGAACTGGAACTTGAAGAACATTGATAAAAGAACAACAAATAAGTGAAACATGTAATATAAACAGTGTTTATCACTTATTTTCCTATTAAAAGGGGTTTTGATCTTATCTAATGAAAAATTCGAAGACTTTACCTGTTCGAAAATAAATCAACAAGGACCCTTGTATAAGAAATCAAGATTAAAATATTCTATTCAAAGAAAGGAATCAAAGAATTAAAGTTTCAGAGATAGTAACCTACAAACTTTTAACAAATTTGTAGTTTGGCACTTAAATTTTCAATAAAGAATTTTTATTGTGTATAGTTACATATATACAAACAAAACAATTAAACATTAAATGTGTTTTGTACCAACAACTTAAATAGTTCTATAATAATCTTTTTTTGTTGAAAATAAAAAATTTTAAGTTTGAGTCATATAGTATACCGATGAAGTTGGGTAACAAATTAGAGATAATTGTCTTTTATTGTGCAATCAACATTAAAAAATTAAATGTGGCTTGAGGGCTACAATTTTTTTTTTAAGAGCTGGACTGAATATGTTCTTGTTTGGGGCTTTTGGGACTGGCCTTCCATGATGGGGGGACTACAGGGTATTTTTTTAATAGCTTAATTGCTTGTGTGGTGACTTTTTCTTAGATGAATTAGTATAAAAATAAAAAAAAATTAAAAAATTTACAAAAAAAAAAATTGAGAGTAATTTAGTCTTAATATTTAATTTTTTTACATTAACACATAATTAAGAAATATACATTTACATATTCTCTGTAACATTTTTTTATAAAAATATTTGTTTTATTCATAAATCTAATGCTTTGTATAAAACGACGTCGAACAAGTACACAAACTGTAGTCCTAAATAACAAAATAAGAGAGACGAGGACTCCATAAAAAATTATTATTTAAAAAAAAAAAAGAAAAGAGAGAGAGACGAGGAGAGGACCGGACGAACGGCCAGGATCATCCCAGCTCAAGATCTAATTTCATTGGCTAAAGAAATCCTTCCTCGAAAACCAATTGGTCCACGTCACCACTGATGACATGTTCTCTCCTCTCATGACCAATACATTAGATGCGGACGCATTTACTATAAAACACTCTCCCAGTCCCCCGGCGTTTCTAGCTCTGCTTCGAAAGCTCAAGCTCCGTTTCAATTTCAACTCCGGCCGATCAGCAATCCGACGAGAGAGAAGAGGCGCACTTTAGACGAAGAAGAAGAAGAAAAAGAGTTGCACCGGCAGGCGTAATGGCTCGCTTCAAGGCACGCGCTTCCGGCGTGGTTCTATCGATGCTGTTGCTCGGTGTGTATTTTTTGCTTCGCGCGATTCGTTAGATCTGTTTGTGTTTCTGATGTCTTTTCTAGATTAATTTTTGAGAGGAAATGGAATGATCAATGCATGCTTAGATCTGATTCAGTGATGCTTTGATGGTTTGGGGAACCTCATATCATTCTATTTAAATTTCTTTTTTCTTTTTTTTTTTTGTAAGTCAACTAGAAAATTTTATTGACTAGTTAGCTCGATTAAGTTTAATGTATATCATGGAGCAACATTTAGTGATTTATTTATTCTATTTCCATTTAATTATGTTTATTAAAGTTTGTATTTTTCCTTTTTTTTTTTTTTGGGTAACAAAGTTAGGACTTTCTTCCCTTGATCTAAGGATATACCTGTTGCTCTCTGACATCTGATGAACGGGGTTCAGTCATTCTGTTTGGAATTATCTTAACTAATATCATTATCTAGGACTAAGAATTCCATTTTAAACAAGGTTTCCCAATTTTTTGAATTCTTAGTTAATTGTACATGACACTGATTTGAATGGCTTATTCAATAGTGGTATTAACGATGTGGAAGTTATGCAACAGGATGTATCTTTGCAATTTCAATTGCAAAGGAGGAAGCCACCAAGTTGGGAACGGTTATCGGGATAGACCTTGGCACAACTTATTCTTGTGTTGGTGTCTACAAGAATGGCCATGTTGAAATTATAGCCAATGATCAAGGAAACCGTATTACCCCATCATGGGTTGCTTTCACAGACAGTGAGAGACTTATTGGTGAGGCAGCAAAGAACCAGGCTGCTGTCAATCCCGAAAGGACCATCTTTGATGTTAAGAGACTTATTGGAAGAAAGTAAGGAATCCTTCAATTACTTGTTCTTCAACTATGTTTATGTTGAGTAATCAGGGAATATTGCTCTCTAATACTCTCATCTTTTGACAGATTTGAGGACAAAGAGGTGCAGAGGGACATGAAACTTGTTCCATACAAGATTGTGAACAAGGATAGCAAGCCTTACATTCAGGTGAAGATTAAGGATGGAGAGACCAAGGTCTTCAGCCCTGAGGAAATTAGTGCTATGGTTCTGATCAAGATGAAGGAAACAGCTGAGGCATTCCTGGGGAAGAAAATCAAGGATGCCGTGGTCACTGTTCCTGGTGAGTGATTTACATTTTTTCTGTTTTTAAAAGATTTAATTTTTGCTTATTTTTGACCTTTTTTTTTTCGTCTATCATTTTGTAGCATACTTTAACGATGCTCAGAGGCAGGCCACCAAGGATGCTGGGATAATTGCTGGATTGAATGTTGCAAGAATAATCAATGAGCCAACTGCTGCTGCTATTGCGTATGGTTTAGATAAGAAAGGAGGCGAGAAAAACATCCTTGTCTTTGACCTTGGTGGTGGGACATTTGATGTCAGTATCTTGACAATTGACAATGGTGTTTTTGAGGTTCTTTCCACTAATGGAGACACTCATTTGGGAGGTGAGAAATTTACTGCATGATTATCCTCCTATTCTTTATCTGTACCTTAAATACTGCTTTTGAAAAATTTTATGCATGTTGTTTATTTTCTTGCAGGCGAGGACTTTGACCAGAGGATTATGGAATACTTCATCAAGTTGATCAAGAAGAAGCATGGAAAGGATATCAGTAAGGACAACAGGGCTCTTGGGAAGCTCAGGAGGGAATGTGAGCGTGCCAAGAGAGCTCTGAGCAGCCAGCACCAGGTCCGTGTGGAGATTGAATCACTGTTTGATGGTATGGATTTCTCTGAGCCACTGACCAGAGCTCGCTTTGAGGAGTTGAACAATGATTTATTCAGAAAAACTATGGGGCCTGTGAAGAAAGCAATGGAAGATGCTGGAATGGAGAAGAACCAAATTGATGAGATTGTTCTTGTTGGTGGAAGTACTAGAATTCCAAAGGTTCAGCAGCTTCTTAAGGAATACTTTGATGGCAAGGAGCCTAACAAGGGTGTTAACCCTGATGAAGCTGTTGCTTATGGTGCTGCAGTACAGGGAGGTATCTTGAGTGGAGAGGGTGGCGATGAAACCAAAGGTATTGTTTTAATTTTCCGTCACTTTGATCGGTTTGATATGGATAGCTGAAAATTTTCTTACATTTGTTTCTGAGATCTTGTATTGAAATATGTCTAATATATTCCTGTGTAATACTTACATAGATATCCTTCTCCTTGATGTGGCTCCTCTCACCCTTGGTATTGAGACTGTTGGTGGAGTGATGACCAAATTGATTCCCAGAAACACTGTTATTCCAACCAAGAAGTCACAAGTTTTCACTACTTATCAGGATCAGCAGACCACCGTCTCCATTCAGGTACCATTTTGTTGCCCTTTTGTTTCCATAACATAGAAACAGTGATGAGATCCTGTTAACGTTGACACTTACCATATATGAATGCTGAAATGGTCATATTTGTGCTGCTTCTTTGGTTATGTATAACAGGTCTTTGAAGGTGAAAGGAGTCTCACGAAGGATTGTAGATTGCTTGGGAAATTCGATCTTACTGGAGTTCCTCCAGCTCCAAGGTTTGGTTCTAGCTTCACATAAAATTTCTTTATTTCTTCCCTAAATCATAATTTCAACTTAATGGGTTTCCAATCCCTCAACTGAACAGAGGAACCCCTCAAATTGAAGTCACTTTTGAAGTGGATGCCAATGGTATCCTGAATGTCAAGGCTGAAGACAAGGGCACTGGTAAATCAGAGAAGATCACCATCACCAATGACAAGGGTCGTTTGAGCCAGGAGGAGATTGACAGAATGGTTAGGGAGGCAGAAGAATTTGCCGAGGAGGACAAGAAGGTTAAGGAAAGAATTGATGCCCGCAACAGCCTGGAGACCTATGTTTACAACATGAAAAACCAGATCAACGACAAGGACAAGCTTGCTGACAAGCTGGAGTCTGACGAGAAGGAGAAGGTTGAAACTGCTGTAAAGGAAGCCCTTGAATGGCTGGATGACAACCAGACTGCAGAGAAGGAAGATTACGAGGAGAAGCTGAAAGAGGTAGAAGCTGTTTGCAATCCGATCATCACTGCTGTATATCAAAGATCTGGTGGTGCCCCTGGTGGTGGATCTTCTGAAGATGATGATTCACATGATGAACTGTGAGGAGAACTCAAAATTTTCTGATAGGTAGGAAATCTGAGGATACTGTAATTTTTCATGTGGTAGAAGTTTAAAAGGGAGCTGAATGTCCCTCTCTCTTCCCTTGGTTTTGGGTGAACACACTTTTTTGTGACAGATTTTGTTTCTAGTACGTATTTCACTTTGGTTATCTTAAAGAAGTAACATTTCCTAATTCCCAATTATGTCTTTCATTTCTGAATTCTTAGGAAGAAAAAAAGGAAAATCAAAGATGTATTGACGTTAATAATAATTACTCGAATAAATTTGGTAAAATTAAGATTAATATTATATTTTATATATTTAATTATTATGATTAAATATATTAATATTTTTAATGATAAGATGTCCTCTTTTTTCCCTTTTTTTTCTTTTATTTTTCTTAGAATAAATGAAAAAAAGTAAAATACTTTTAGTTTTATGAGGTAATGAAGATGGAAAGGTGCTCTAATTCGAACGAGGATTCAAAAGAAAAGAGCTTGAAAGAGAACAAATTTTGCTATGAATTTGGAGGATTCCGGATGGACATTCATTATTAGGGACTCTTAATTATTTAATAATTAATATTTTAGTAATTTTTTGTTTTACTATTTTATTAGGGTAATGTTATACTTACTATTTTATTATTGTTTTTGTTCTCCGTAGAGGATAATTTAATTTAAAGGATGATTTAATTTAAAAAGAATTTGTTATAAAAATTCTCCTTAATTTATCCACTGATATTAAGTATATTATCCATTGCTTATTTTCAAAAAAAGATATTTAGTATATTATTGTAATTAAATAATTAATTATATAAAGGTCAATTCGACTATTTTTTTCTCGATGTGATTTAATGGAACCTGGAACCAAGTACAGTATTTGTTTTGTGCCCTTAGAGAACAAAAAATGTGTCCTTTTTCATTTGGATTGCATAAAAAAAAAGTTTAGGGTGGATTCTGTAATTACCACATGATACAATTAATAATCTATTAATTGAAATTAAAAAACATTAGACGCATTATATTTTTTTTATATTTTTTATTTTGATTCCATAATAATAAGAGATTATTTTTATATATTTCTTACTCCACCTTATTTTCATTCATGAGATTTCGGGTGCGTGAGACTTTTGATTGGGAGCTTTTTCACGTAATTATACAATATTTTTAAATATATGTATGTTTGGTAATTTTTTTAAAATTATTTTTTTAAACTATAAAAAA